AAAAAAAAAAAAAAAAAAAAAAAAAAAAAAAATACCAACGAATAGAAAAAACACATGTTTAAGAACAAATCACTGTTGGCGTTGCAACAGAGTTTCACAAAATGCGCCTTAAAAAAGCAGCTTCAAATTATACTCAAGCATGGGTGACTTAAGGTGAAAAAGGAAAAGATGTACAAAATGGGTGTCCTAACATGGGCCCTCGTATGGGGAAATAAAGAGGCCTCTATCTTCGCGAGAAGTTGTTCGCATTTCTGTTCGTTTTCATATGACCATGATGCACATTTGGGAACATCTGGTTTGGGGGCATATCGTGCATGGGTGGAGGTATGTAGTGATGCATACCCATAAAGTTCTGCGGCGGGTTATAATTCATACCTTCATTATGCATGGGACGACTGTCCATTCTCATATTTTTGTTCATCATATTTTTGTCATTCATATGAACTAAAGCGCTGGGATGTGGGGATGGATAGGAATTTGCATTGCCGTGCATGCCGCCGAATATATCTCTTCGTTTGTTCATGTCATTATTCATGCTCATGTTGTTTGGGTTCATTGAAGACATGGACATGATGCTGCGGAGGGGGGCAGGAAAGTGTAGAAGGGGTCATATGTATATGTGTATATATATGTACCAATGAATGAACGTATGCGTGAATGTATGACGGCACGTACGCATTCATGCATGTGCGGAGTGCTAGTAACGATTGACCCCTGTTGGAAGCGCCATTGTTGCAACCGAAAACCCTTGAGTTGTCACGCCGCAACTCCGAGCTGCCCACATGCTCAAGGGGTGTAACGCGTTCGAACATAAACCACACAGTTGTCTACTGAAACATTTTCTCCTTTTAATTATTCCACCAATATCTATCGTTTTCAAATTTGTTCATAATTTATTATACCAAATATTAAAAAAAAAAAAAAAAAAAAAAAAATTTTTACAAAAGCTTTTGTTCGTTCTGCATACACATGCACGTAAAGATTTTTTTTGTTCGTTTCATTGTTTTCTCTTTTAAAACCCTAAGCTAAGGAACGGGCGTATACACACGCAAGGGCAACCGTACAGCTCCTCCACACAAATGCATAATTACGCACATGATAGGTGACTAATACTTCATCAGACTGAGGACTGATTACATAACGCACCATGCCAGGCACTACAAGAGAGATGCATATAAAGTGCGTCATCCCTTATGCACAGCAAGTTGTTAATTAACAAACTTGTTAGAAAAATCTAAATCTATTTCTTATGAAGTACTTATTCGGATCCTGTGGTGGCGGGATCTTGTTGTTAAATGGGTTGTCCTTCATGTACGGCTTGGGTGGCATGCTCATGGAGTGTTGCAAAACGGGGTACATATCTGTGTGTGGGTGGGGGGTGGTGAAATGAGTGTAATGAGGTGGGGGCTACTCAAATGTGCCATCTCCAGAGGGAAGCGGTACAGACGGGTAACTTTTTCTACAGATGCGTCTGTTCGAAGAGTAGGTAGCTAATGAGCTCAGCTAGCTATTCACAGTACAACTATTGGTCTGTGCGATAATTAGGGGTCCCCCATGTGTGTATCTTACTTGGGTTGTACATATTCTTGGTTATGGGGACGAAGGTGGCGCTCGAGTTCATGTGCACTGGGTTGGACGTGTTGAAGGGGTTCATCGTTACGTTTCCGTCTGGGCTCGGCGCGGGCGCTGCGTGGGGGGGGTGATGGCACGGGATAGGGTGTAATGGGTGGCAAATTGGTCAAGACGTGAGTGTATGGACGGGTGATGGCACGGGATAGGGTGTAATGAGTAGGGGAATATTATGTGCTACGCAGAGAGACAGCATGAATAGCAAGCTGACGGTGACAACGTGCATAGAGAGGGGCAGGGGGGGGGTGCGCTTACCGCTTGGCTTGGACGAGCTGGGTTTGCTTTCCTGTGGCTTCGCATCAGATTCCTCCTTCTTTTCCTTCTCAGCCGCTTTTCTGCAGGTGTGTGTGTGGTGGGGGGAAAGGCAATATTGGTGAAAGATGTACATACATTGGATGAGGGGCGATACACCCCATGCTCAACACTGTGGCGTGTCACTTACCGATTCCTCTCCATGATAGTCTTCAAGCTGTTGACCGAGATAGCGATGTCCTTCCACCCACAGTTCTGAGCGAAGGAGTGCAGGTTCTGCAAATATTTCTTTATGGACTGCTTCACTTTGTTCGAGTAAGGAAAGGAATGAACAACACGAAAGAGGAATATAACAACCGATTTTGAGTTAATCCATGACTTCTGATGATTGTTATTTTCAAAGAGAAGAGAAACGAGGAGCTTCTCCCACTTGGCCACTTTCGAAATTATGCAAGAGTGCTCGATTGTAACTTTGGACTCGAAGTTGAGTGTGCTGCTAAAGCAAGGGTTCTCTTCCGACACGAGTTTAAAATGTTTTGCATCCTGACATAACTGGTACACGTAGGAAAACAACTCATTAAAGAATAGCCCAATGTTCAGAGCTTCCTTCTCCGTGCAGGCATTTATGATTGGCATGAGCATTTTTATGCATACGTATGTTAGGAGGCAGAAATTAAAGAGAGGAGTTCTGAACTCTAATAGCAAGAGTATGAATTTGGAGCAGAAGAGGGAATCGTTTTCGCTGTTTAATATTCTGGGTGCGATAAGACATTTGACAAAGGCGGTAAATGTGGTCAGGTCAATTTTTTGTGGGTTTACCCAATGGTCTACTACATGGGATAAATGTTTTTTTATTTTCTCTGTATGTGCAATGTGATACTGGTACTCATTGTTAATGGATGCTCTTCTGGAACGAAGTTTCCTCATTTTTTTGTGAATCCATTTGTAGTCTTCATTTTTTTTATTTTCTTCATGATGTTTTTCTAGCTTTTTTATGTACGAGTCATATTTTTCCATGACCTTTTGGTATTGCTTGTGGGGTACATGGATGTCGGTTATGCTGAGTCTCCAGTAGGTCAAATAGAAGTCGATGTTAATTCCGTTTAGGTTTTCTATGGTCAGGTACCTCTGGACAATAGGCATGATGGCTTGCTTCCACGTTTGCTCGTTTGCGTGGTGGAAGGTGGGATCGCTTCGGTTCGCCGCTTCCTTTTCCTTCGTTGCGTCGTTTTGGTTCACCGCGTCGCTTCGGTTAGCCGCTTCCTTTTCAGTCGCTGCTTCGGTTCCATTTTGGGCCCCCCCTTTTGCGCGCGCCAGGGGGGAAGAGGCGCTGCGGTGCCTCTTGGCAGGCCCCTTGTCATCGAAGAAGGGGAAGGCAAATCTAATGATATGGAACGACTGCGAAATGTTAAAGTAGGAAAAAATGAGCGTCATGCTAGGGATGTAAGTCAAATAGAGGTAGGGTTCTGTATTGGTCTGCAGGAAGTTAATAAACTGAAGGAGAACCGAATCCACTTTGTCAATTAGGGAGGAGAGATTTCTTAAATTATTTGTGTTGCTATCGAATAGGTATTCGTATTTCAATTTGGACAATGTACATAAGACGAGGTATACGACATTAGGGTTGGCGAGATTTTTAGTAGCATTTTCAATACAGTGTTTTTGTAAACGTTCATCATCCATTTCAGCTTTTTCCATATTTTCATATTCTACATTGTTCATATTAAAATTGAAATTTTCCTCGAGTATCATGATTTCTTTTTTAAGTAACTTGAGTCCACATTGAGCATTGAGTTGATCTTCATTAAGTTCTTGTACATCCATCGATGCACTTGTGCCTCCATAAATTTCAATTAGCTTTTGTAGGTAGTCGATATCAAATATGTACCCACTCATAACATCTGGGTATTTAACATTCATAGCATTTAGAATGGTCAGCTTGAATTCTTCATTATACTGTGTGTGTATATTTGTTTCCCTTTCATGGGATGGTTCTTCTTCCGTTTCCGCACCCGTCTCACGCTTCACATCTTCTTCTACCGCATTTGCTATATCCCCCATGCTGCTGCCCTGTTTCGCCTCTCTTCTATTTCTGAGGAAGAGTTGCTCTGAGATGTGAAGCTCAGAAAATAATCTCTTCACGATGGAAATGATAAGAGGGTAGAAGTCTGCAAAGGGATGCTTAGACAAAAATTTAGCACTTACAAGAGAAAGGTTTATTAACTTTTTTGGTTTAAAAAGGGAGTCATCAAATAAGTCTGAACTGTTCATACTGTATTGTTTGCTTAATTGATAATTGCTGACGTTAAGTAACTGCTGTCTTTCTACTATTTTAAAAATAAATATATCACTGGAGAAGCTATGTATGTCTTTAATGGACTCAGACAGAGTGATGATCATATTACTATCAAATAGCTCGCATTGTTTAAGAATGACATCTGATGAAACGAAGGGGTTTCTATTTATTACCCTGGTTAGTTGCATTAAAATGTTTTGTACTTTGGTGCTGTACCTGTCCTTGAGTATATCCGACGTAATTCGCTTGATAATTTTTCTTAATTTGTTTTTGGCTAACTCGAAGTTGATAATGGAGAGGACAATGGCAGCCTTAGCGTTGGGCAAGACGGGGCAGGGTAAGGTGCTGTCTCCCCCGGTGGAGTCCTCCTTTGCCTCTGTCTGTTGCTGTGCAGCGACGGCTAGCTTGGAAAGGACCTTCTGATACTTGTCCACCTTGGTGTAAAATTTTGCATACAGTTTGTAGCGCCTTGAGACTGGGATGAGTTTTAGCACATTCCATATGTCTTCATTTAGAGAGGAGCCATCTGCACCATTTCCGTCGTTGTTACCGACATTTGCCGCTCCTCCTCCCTCGTCGTCCTCATTTATTGGGCACAAGAAGAAAAAACGAATGAACAGTTTGTCAAAGTTACTATGCAGCTCTTCCCCTCTGGCCACTTTCCTCCTCACGTAAGTCTTCACAATGAGAAGCAGTCTCCTGACCAGGGACTTGTACATATACCCAAAGTAGCCGAGGTACTTTACATACTGCAATATTCGATTGAAAAAATCGTCCACGCTTTTTATTTTCTTCATGTAGTTGTTGGGTCGCTTGGGTGAGAAGAAGTTGAGTAAATTGTCTAAGTTGGTAGCGGGGTCTGCATTACTAATCGGTTCCATCTTAACACATGCGTGTTCCCCTTTGGGGACGGCAGCGTGGTTTTCCTCCGCCCCTCCTTCTTTCTTCCCATTTGGCGCAAAATCGATCGAGTCCGCTTCTGATGAATCCTCAGACGGCGGGGCGTTCGCGCAGAGAAGGAGATGCTTCCTCAGAGGGCGCAGTAGGGTCGAGGAACGATTGGATTGATTCAAATTGTTCTTCTTCTTCGAAGTTCCATTTGCTTTGCCGTATACATAGCGGCTATCACAAACGGTTTTATCACTTTTGATATTCCTTCCGCGAGTCTCATCTCTCCCATTATGAATAACGTTTTTTAAAATTTGTTTCATTTTTTTTTTTTTTTTTTTTATTTTTTTTTCATCCCTGAACAAATTTTGTAAGTGCGCCTTATTTCGGTTGAGCACTTTGATACACTGGTAGCTGCACAGCCTATTGGTGTTGACATGAATTTTGCAAAAGAAACACGGTCCATCCATTTCTTCACTTTGCATGGTAGCACTATCGTTGTGGGGTAGGTCATCCCGATTGAAGGTAGCTTCCCCTCCATTTAACTTGTTCGTCTTGGGCATGCATGGCATTTGCCTCAATTTTTGACTCGATCCATGTGCAGTGTGTGTCTGTTGAGAAGCTTCACTAAACATATATGTCCTCTCGAATGACGTTATGCAGTGTCCGATGAGTCGTGACATGGACAAACTCACATAGTAGTTTAGGAAGGGGTTGCATTGGTAGCTAGCCATATGTTCAAGTAGCGTATCCACATAGCTCCAGGCATTTAGACTAATCAGGGAGGATAACAATAAAAATTTTGGGTTATTAATAAAAAAAAGTCGACCTAATAGGAGGAAGTAGTTGTCATCTTGAAGAAAGAGATAGTCATACGAATTTGTGTGAGACAAATATTTTGAATTGGCCATTTCGCTTCTGAGTTGTATTTCCCTGTCGATGTAATTTTTTACGAAGTTTTCACAAACACTGGATTTGTTGTGAATCATATCAAATATGAAAAACTCAATCGGTTCCTTATTATGAAGATCTGCAATTTGTTCATTTTTTTTTTTTATGTCGACACTTTTGTAATTTAAGAGATAGTGCACTACACGATCTTGCACATTCTCAGGCTTCCCCTCTTCAAAAATTTTGCAGACACTGTTCCGGGATGAGTCAGAAGTGTTGAGCGTGTTTAAAACGCTTATCCCTTTAGAGTTTTTCCCTCCTTTGGGGGTGTTTGCATCTGTGAGGCTGTTAGACCTGCTGTTGTTGCCGCCCTGCGCAGTGACACCCTGCGCAGTGGCACCCTCCGCCCCGATATTTTCATTTGAGTACGAATTGCCTTTTTGCATAGAGCCAGCAGATGTAGGCTGGTTGTTATGTCCAGAGCTGCTACTATAGCTAGGATCCATGGTATTGCCATGTCGAGTAGAAGGCCGATCTGTAGTTTTTGTCTTCTGGCTATACTTACGAACTTTATTGTACTGAAGGTACAGCTCGCTTATATCCATGGGGAGGTAGGGAAAAAAAAAAGGGGTCAATCTGTCGGAGGTCGATTTTTCATAATCTGCACAGAGTTTTTTATAAAGTTCTTCAAAAGCAATTTTCAGCAGCTCATCATTTGGAAGTATGTGTTCATAAAAGGTGTTAAAATTGAGTAGGTCATTTAGAATTAGAATGGAACACATTTTGAAATAGTTTGGGGTGAAGAAATTTTTTTTACTTAAAAAAAAATGATCTAGGTATCTGCTCGAGTCAGGATTATTTCTTCCCGTGTCTTCTTCACTTCGATGGAGGTGTTTTAATTTTTGTATTTCTTTCTGTTCCATCTCTTTGACATAATTATTTTTTATTTTTAATTCAAGGAGGATGATGTCTGTGATGGTTTCCTTTGTGTAGAGGAAGAACAGAGGGAGGAGCTGCTTAGGGTTATCCACATTCTGTTCATAAAAGAACAGGAGAATGGAGAGTATTCTTCGTGGGCATAAATTGTGAAGCCCGGCGATGGTAAAAATTTTATTTTTTAACTTAATCAAGTCTGTGCAGTAGTAACAATTGAAGTGTCTCTGCCATGACTTTTTAATTTTTTCTCCCAAGGGGTGTTTCCGCTGTGGGGTGTGTTCCTTCTTCATGGGGTAAGAAGTGTGTATTTCGTCACAGGGGGGCAGTTCGCCATGAGGGAGTTGTGTATAATGTACTTCCGTTTCGGCGTGGGTTGCAGGCTCTTCCCCTTCAGGGGTGCACAAAGTAGAGCGCGAGACTTCATCAGGGGAGTGTCCCTCACTGTGTTCTAACGAATGTGAATTCTTCCTCTTGAGCGATTGACCACTCGGCTGGCTACATTTTCCTTTTCCCTCCTCTTTCACTTTACCAAACATTTTCCTGCCACCCAGTTTATACTTTAACAAAAGTTCTGAAGCGATGATTTTTTTTCCTACCTTGTCTGTTTGTTTATGAGTAGAAGAATCCCCCAAGGGAGGTTCCCCCCAATGAGTAGAAAAAAAACTTTCTAATAAAAAAATAATTTTTGAATAGCCATTTACATTTTCCCTTAACAAATTATACACCCATATGCTGTACATATTTTTTGTTCTCATTTTTGTAACCAGTTTGTATAATTCTTTATTGAAAATGGTGAGCTTATCGAAATTCTTACACTCGATATATGTGGTGGCTTCTTTGTAGGTTATAATATTTTTTCTCTCTAGCGATATGACACATTTGGCGATGGTATCCTTGTAGTGGGTGTAGTTGGCGCATTTTTGTTCTTTCATTTGTTCAAGGAGTTCAATCAGGTAGTGTAAGCTGGTGAGGATGAGTTCCTTCACGTGTCCTGAAAAGTTCTGTTGAAGTAGCTGATTTATTTCTGTCTTCCCCGATTTCGTAATCACTTCATTTTGGTTGTCCCCTGTTGGACTTCCTTCCGTGGCGACCACCTCCAAAAACTTCTCAAAGCTGTCCCGATGGACATTGGCCAAATCGTGGGCAATAAATTTGACTCCGCAGTCCACCGCCACAGCACCTTTTAAGATGCACAAGAATAGGTCAAAGTAGAACAGGCACAAGTTTGCCTTCACCCTTTCTACGTAAAATTTTACAACTTGAACTATGCCTTCTTGTTCAGTGGGAACAGGGGTATGATGTGTGACGCTATTATTGGTCAGGTCTCCTGTATGGTGAGCTTCACCGCACGCACCATGGTACGCCCCACTGCTAAGCAACATTGAGTGCTGTTGTATTTTCCCCTGATTTCTCCTAAACGATTCTACATACATTTGTCTGTACACGTTCAGGTAATTTTTGTTTTTAATTTCATCCACGAGGTTGCTGAATAGCCCTTTCAAATCGCACTGTTCCTTTAAGGGGATTTTAAATTGCAGATCTTCTGCAGTTAGGAATTTAAAATCTTCATCCACTTTTATAAATTCATTTTCTGTTCCTCCTGATGGGTATACATCCGACATCTTCCCTGTCACTGCAGGGGGTGGTGAACTGTCCCTTCGGAGGTAGGAGGCGTCCTTGGGCCTTTTTTTCCCCTTCTCCATATCGCACGTAGTGACGTTATCAACAACATCTCCATCACCTTCGTTAGTGACAGAATCTCTTTTTTCACTTGTATTATCTTTTTCCTCCCCGCTTGGGATTTCCTTTTTGTCCTCTTCTACCGCATCTGCATTGCGCTTTCTCTTGCGCACTCCTCTGTTTGGCCCTTTTGTGTGTGTTTCAGGTGAGTCGATAATTTCCTCATTAGCATTTTCCTCAACGGAGTCATGTGCTGGTCTCCCTGTTGACACACCTACAGTTCCTATTTCATCCTTGATGCTGGTGCATAAGTCCGTGTGGTATCTTTTTACTTCCTCCAAAATGCCTAGCAGGATCCTTTCATAAGATTGCTTAACCTTTGGAAAATTGCTCGCGACGTCATCTTCTGCGAACTCATTCAACAGGCATACCTGATAGGTGAAGAGGCGATCTATGTCCTCCATGTCGGGCAAGCTATCCGTTGAAGGGTTGGGGTCGCAGGGAGGGGTGCGGTGTCGCCAATGGTTAGAGGCGCAAAATGGGTGTCAGGCGAGATCTCCTTGGGGCTCTGCATTCGTTTCTACATGGGTAGTCACATGGCAGTTATAACACGCAGCTATATGGGCTGTCACATCTGCAGGCGCTGTTAAGCGGCGTCCCCTCCCAACAGGTGTTTATGCGGGGGTGACGTGTTGCGAAGTGGCGAGTGCAGTCTCGCCAAATGGGCATCACAAATGAACAACACAAAGTAGCCCCTGCAAAACCAACACCATCACCACCCGGCAAGGATGGCAACGCAAATCCGTGCGTGGATGCGAAAAACGCCAAACAGGCAGTTACGCAATTTTGTGCGAGGACGCGTACACGTTCGCCTTCATTTGGAAAATCGTAACTCAACAAAAAAAAAAAAAAAAAAAAAGCCAAATTTTTTAATTACAAATGGAGAAATATATACAAAAAAAAAAAAAAAAAATTTACAAATATCTGTACGTACGTATAAGTTAAAATAAAAAACTGAAAGGCAAAAACACCAAACTTCTGTTGCGCATTTATTTTTCATATACGTTTATATGAGCGTTGGGCGGGGTGCGGGGCGTTTTCTGTTTTGCGCGGTCACAATTTTGGCGTGTTTGTAGGTGGGCATGCGGGAACGGGTCGCCAAAGGGGCGGTGATTCTCCGCACCTTGAGGGGTGTTATTCTTCATGGGGTGCTTTTTGTATGCCCAAGTGGGGGTATGCGCATCATAATAGCTACCTCGTCAGTGTACTCAAACTGGGCAGTCAAAATTGGAACCACGCGAGTGGTGAGGTGAAGTTGAATTCAAACGAGAAAATTTTAAGGAGCCGTGGAAAAATGAATAAAAAAAGAACATTATGAACTTGTATGCCGCGTGCAATAGTATATTTTTCCCACAACAGTTTGATTCATTTGGATGTGCTTCGCAGCGAGGGTGGAGAAATAGGGGGCATACCTGGATGAATGTCCCTACCATATGCAGTTATCCATCCGTTGCATGCTACATGTGTTCACCCGGTTGTGTGAACGCCTGCGCGGTACAGGTAAGTCAGATTTACGCTGCGCAGAAGAATGGCATACGGGGGTTGGGTAGCCATGTGTGGGGTGTAAAGCTACTTTTCGTCCCTTCCCACGATGAGAATTTCACCGTGTGTGTTGTTTTACGGGTGGGGGAGGAAGAAGTTGAAAGAGGCCGTTGTTTTGGGAGAAGCCTCCCAAATGTTGCCTACAAGAGCGAACAAGGTGCAAGGATGGCAAAAAAAAAAAAAAAGGTACATAAAAATAAAGCGTGTATGAAAGTGGGGCATATTGTAAAGGCGCCTGAACAGGCAAGGGTGTTATGTTATAGCTGTCTCACTGAGGGACAAAAACAAATAAAAAGTATAGTCACTTTGAAAAGGGCACAACAAAGCAACTCGTGGGTTGTACGTCTAGCAGACATTTTCGTGTGCCCCCTTTAAATGACGTCGATTCGAGAAGGGTAGGAATATCAATCCCCGTGCTTCTTCTTGCGCCACACTTTGGTCTGCACAGTGGGGTCGAAGGGGTAGGAGGTAAGCGGAAATAAAAAGTTGGTGAGTTCAACGAACTGCGGAGGAGTCAACTGCTGGGGTCTCAAATGGCAAACAGATGGTGGCAGCTGAAGCTGCTCCTCTGCGGTGGAGTATTTCTCAAGGAGGCGTTTCAAACTGGACTTGAGTTTTTTCCTCTTCTGCTGAAACGAGTGTCGTAGAATTTCTTTTAAAAAAAGTAAATTACAGTTCAGGTTGGAATGTTTGAAAATAATTTTCATGACAGCTGCTTCTACCTTGGGCACCGGGTAAAAGGCAGAGCTCGGGATTTTAAAAAGCAAATAGGGGGTTGTGTACAAATTAAAAAGTATGCTTAATATGGAGTAGTTTTTTTCATTCGGTTTGGCAATAATTCTCTGTCCAACTTCATACTGAATGGTAACGATGGCTTGTTCTATGTAGTGATGATAATCGAGTAGGCAGAACAATATTTGTGAGGTTATGTAAAAGGGTAAATTTCCTATTACGGTTAATTTGGTACCTTTACTTTGGGACAGCTCTTTATAATTTATTTGTAACACATCATCGTGGATGAAGTCGAAGCCTGGCATGGTTCTGCTCAGCACTGATAAAGCTCGACTATCTATTTCAACGGCCGTCATTTTTTTATATTTTGCGAAGAGGAATTTGCTGATTTGTCCTAGTCCACACCCCAGCTCGATGATTCCCTTCCCCTGGTCCTCCACGCTTTGGAAGGAGCGCGCCTCGTGTGCGCTGCCCGAGGTGGGGCTTTCCGTACCTGCACATTTATTATCCGAACGTGCAAAATTGTTATGGGCATTTGAAGCGCTCTCATCAGCCTGGACAACTCCGTTGTTGCCGCCATCACCTGCGTGCTGCTCGGTCTTATTCTTCGTTCGCTTTCCCTTCTGCTTCACCTTCCCCTTGGCCTTCTTCCCGCCCCTCGCCTGCACACTGCCAACCCGATTGTCCCTCAGATAAAACGCATCGGCCTCCATCTCAATCGCATTGACCATTTTTTGAATGATATTTTCATCCTTTAAATAATTCTGCCCCAAACTTCTCTTTGGCTTGAATTCCCTCGATGGTATTTTAGTTCTGAAGGCGTTCTGTTCTTCACCCGGTTGTTGCAGGGGGTATATGGTTATCCCTTCGAATGTCCTGCCGATGAATTTGTTTTCTCCTTCATCGTGGCCAGTCCCCTTATCAAGGGAGGAGTCTTCTTGCAGTTCATCATTTGGGCTGTGCTCATTGGCAAACAGGGGCTTATGCGGTGTGAGATTATTTTTACGTCTGCTTCGATTTGGTCTTGCCCCTTTTTGTTGCGCACGGGGGGATGCGCACGCAGCGTGAATGTACTGAACCGGGATTTGTCTCCTTTTCGGCGTGCTACCTACGGTTGCGAAAGCGCAACGTCGTTTGAGCAGGTGCGTCTTTGCATGGTTGACCTCTTTAAAAAGGAAAATCTTTATTTTGAAGAAAATGACGAGGCAAATGGTGAGTGTAACTCCCCGTTTATTCATTCATTCGTTCGTCTGTCCGTTCATGTTTTTTATTTTTTCTGTATTTTTCGCTCTTCCTTTTCACTGTGTGGACGAGGGGATTGTTCTATTGGGCACTTGTGGACGGGGTCGTCCTATTCTCCTTTCGAGGTGGATCACAGTCCGTAGGTTTTATCAGCCAATAGGTATTATGCAGTAGGCGAAAATTGGATTCCCTGGTTTGGGATCCGGCGTTTTAGACCCGCTGCCACAAATGAGGGCATTTTAACCGCTTACCCCTCCAAATGAGCGAGGAAAGTGTTGTTGCGACCTAGTGAGTAAAGTGCTTTTTTGTGGGGGTGATTAACAAATGAAGCGTCGGGAAAATATGCGAGGGGCGCGTTTAACTTTCTTCTCCAGAAAGGTATAAAATGGGTGTGGGTTGTTTTCCGCACGTAAGTATATTTTTAATTAGCCGCGCAGTGCATAAGTATCACAGTCACGCCCGCAAGGGTGACGTGACCTCTTGAGAACTAGCGCATACTGCTTTGCGTGCTGACCTTCGCATTACGGTGCTGTATGTATGCCCGAAAAAATGCGGCACTCAGCGGCGATACAAAATCCGACGGCAAAAAGGCGGAAGCGCAGAGTCACCGTTTTTGCATTTGCTAAGATTTAGTATATGCCCGCTTCCTTTTTTTTGCGCTATAATTTTGCGAACAAAAATTTGCCTAGCTTTTTTTGCGCAATTTGTGGCTGACCGTAGGCTACATTCCACATGCACTGTTCAGGTAAAACGCTAAAAAAAAAAAAAAAACAAAACAAAAAACAAAAGGAAGCAAAGCGCAACAAACAATTTGAAACATCATTTCTAAACGAAGGCACATATGACCCACCGACGTTTTCACCCATTCGTGATTAATTCTGAATAAAAAAAGGAGTCAGTTTTGTCCAGGTGAGGGTGGCGCCTCGATGACTCTTTTTCACCCTGCGCGCTTTTAAGGGAGGTCTTCAGCATTGGGCGAAAGGAGCAACGCGGCACGAACAGGACCAAACAAATGGCGCTGGCAGAGAATGAGAACAGCTTTACCATTTTGCGGCCGGTGGAGGCGGAGCCCATGTCCGTGCTGGATCACGTGAACGACATCATCGCCAAGAAGAAGATGGAGAAGAAGAACAAAAAGGAACAATTAAATGATTGGGGAAATATGAAGAGGAAGGAAAAAACGGACGAGTTAAAACTACAGTGGAAGTTAATACAGCATGAAAATTTAGCCGAAAGAAGTGAATACCATAAAGTTAAGAAGGATGAGAAGATGCCTCAATTTTTTCAAGTGGCTACATTAGTGAATGGGAACCATAAGATAAAGGTGGGAGCTGGACAGGAATCGCAGTCGTTACATACGTCGAACAGGCGCAAGAAGAAGTGCCTGTCCGCCCTGCAGCAATTGGAGAGAGACAAGGATATGAAGGAGTGGTGCGTGAAGAGGTACACTAAGATTCAGAGGGAGAAGAATATCGGCGGGAAGTCCTTCGTGCGTAAGCAGCGAAGGCAGTTGTTAAAAATGCAGAAGTCGTAGCTGCTCTGTTTTTTTGTGCACAGTTTTTTTTGCACGACGCACGGGTGGCAAAAAGTCGGGATAATTTTGCTAGTCCACTTTGGATGCCCCCGGGGGTGAGAAAAGACCGCGCCCTGTGCACCAGCGTAATTTATATTGAGTTTTTTTTGTTTGTGATTATATGGCTCATTTGGGGAGGTTGTTTTGTTCCCATTTATTTTTTTGTTTTGTTTTTTCCTACCCATTATGGGCAAATTTTATACGCCTAGGTTTTCTTTTTTTTTTTTGGGCGAAACTGTTAATATTAAAATTGTTATTTTGTTTTTTTTATTTTTTGGTTTCTATTCCCCTTCTTTTTGGTGCATGTGTGGAGAGGCAGAAAAAAAAAGTTGCGTCCTCAGGGGACACAGGGTGTGGAAAGGGGTGTCGTAGAGTGGTACAAAATGGAGCCGCGAGCATGTCTCAGAAAAGTTGGCAGCTGCCGCTAATAGGCGGTAATGGCCGCTATGGCCGCTAGTCGCGGCTTGCCCCGCTACACTTCGTACACATCGACGCCGAAGTTTTTGAGGGTGTCCACGTACATTTGGATGACGTGTTGCGTGGTCGCGCGGTCCGTGAAGTTGGGGTGTGTAATGGCATTGATGATGTTGACATGCTTGTCCACGAAGACGTACATGTCGGACAGGGTTGGAAAGTAGGTCTTAAATTTATTAATATTTTTAATGAAGTCGATGAAGTATTTAAAGGACATATTATTTTGTAGGAAGAGTTGTGTGACATGACTGTTCAGATAAAATTTGATATTTTGAAATCGGAAAGAAGCGGCGTCTTCATTATTTGTGTCCATGAAATTTGCTATAGTTCCATTGATGACATTGTAGGAGGCATTCACTTGATCTGATGGTGCTTTAGTCTTGCGAACCTGTTCGAAGAATGGCTGTAGGTTGTTTATTATATCGTCCACGTTTATATAAAAATCTTTGTAGCCCATATTGAAAAGGTATGAGGATGGCATCTTGGACATAACTGTGCGAATGACAAATTTTGAGATTTCTGTTATGAAATATCTTACTTTGAATGATTCTACTTGTAGTTGTTTTTGATCCATTTTTTCACTTTGTGGAATGAATTCTTTAATAAAGTCTAAGAAGAGGTCCTCTTCATTTATGTGATAGTCGAAATTTATTTGATTGTTTTGTACCGTCTGTGGGAGTTGAACAAATGGGGTCTGCAGAATGTTGAGCATTTTTTGCTCAGGGGAGAATTGTTCCTCACTGATGTAGTTTCCAAAATTTTGACACTGCACCGTATCATCGTAGAAGTAGAAATTGAATAGGCAAGGAAAGAGTTGTGAGAGGAAGTCTATATACTTTTGGTATTTGCGTGCTAGTTGTATGTTGAGTTGTTCTTGCACGTGATCGTCCTTGAATTTGAACGGAGCAACAGAATATTCGAGAAGGACCTTGAAGAAGAGGAAGTATAAGTCATGGATGGGCTGTGTCACATTGATCTTCTGAAATTTGTCATACAGGTATTTATAAATTTTCAAATAAAAAAGATCATCTGCTGTTTTTGTAATTTTACTTTTTATGAGTTCAAATTTTGGGAAAACGAATTTTTTTTTATTCATGAAATTTTTAAATTTTTCATTTAATTCGTTCAGGGTTATTTGCTCCTTGATGAGATTTTGTAGCAGCATTTTAAATGATTGTTCATCTATGAGGTCTTTTAATTGAAGGTTTTCTTGGTAGATCGTTTTTTTATTAACATGATCATATTTGACTCTTCTGTTGAAAAGTATTTTTGCTTCCTTAAAATGTGGGTTTTCTTGTAACATGGATTGATAATTTCCATCTGCAACATTTTTATTTTTAGTGAAGAAATAATTTAATTTGAAAAAAGACTCAATTTTATTTTCGTCTTCTGATTCGAAAGAGGTGCTATTATTTTCCAGGAGGGATTGAAAATGTGTAAACAAATCTACTATCAAATTTTCTGTTATTTCTGCAAAGTCTGTTTCGAAAAAATTAACAATGTGTGATTTTAAGTAATGTGGTAGGGAATTTATAAATTGGTGAAATATTTTCAATGCATCTAATTTGAATGGTCTTGTGTAGGAGAGTAGGTTTGCTGGTGCATATCGCTCAAGGTATAGTTTGCTGTTAGTACAATATAGAATAAAATTCATCTTATTTAATATATTATGGAAGAGTGAAATTAGGTCAATATCGCTCTTCTCTAGTAGAGGTTCCATATGAATATCAAAGTAGGAGACTGTGTGGTAGGATAATCTGGCGAGGAAAGAGTAGGCCAATTTGGACAGCATCTGCTTAGTGTGATCATCAAATACACTATCTGAAAAGTACCTTTCAACAACAGAACTGACTTTTTCATAGGTAAAGAATTCTTTATTATCAGGATGTAGGAAGTATCTCCATATATACACAAGCGACTGCGCACGTCCGTAATTAAACTTGCCTATTTTGTCGTGGAAGAGAGTATTCAATTGAGTATGACTTGTGATGGTGAAGATGTCCTTAAAATTGAAAGTGGAGAATTTGTCTAGACAGGACAACTTTGCATTTATCACATGTTCGTTTAGCAAATTTCGAAGATCCGGATTTACAAAATAAAAAAATAATGTCATCATTTGGTCAAGATTAATATTAAGTAAATTATATGACCCCATGTTTAAATGTTTCATTTCTTCTGATTTGTATTCATGCACGTGATAATATTTGGACTTGAAACTTTCAGGGCTGGACGTGGCTACCTTGGCGAAGAAATAATTTACGAAATCGTCCAACCCATTCCTTATTCCGGCTAAAAGCTCTGTTGCAAATTTAGGGTTTTCTTTTTTAAATGCTTCATACAAAATTGGGTTTCCATCCAAGCTTTGCTGAACACCTAGCAGGAACTCATGTAGTTTCGGGTTGTAAGGTAAGGTTGACAAAATATCATTTGGTTTCAAAAAGCGCATCACATGTTTTTTTATTTCATCCCTAACTTCTACTTTCTTGTAGTAACTTTTCAATATGTTCAAGTAAGTCATTACTCTAGACTTTTTATCTCTTTTCTGTATGTCGTCCATTTTCACCTGCACACCCAGGAGTTGTAAAAAGGTTATAAGGTAGATGCTAAGGGTGTCCTGCTTTATGAAGAAGATGTTCGAATTGTCTAAAATTATTTCGCTGAGCGTTATGATATCGCGTACGTTGATCGCGTTAGGAGTAGCTTGCAGATATTTCAATACTTCCAAAATGGCATCATAGCTGATATTGCTTTGTTTTAGGTATTCGTCTGCTGATTGGAGAATGGCTGGTAGGTGCTCCTCTCCTCCTCCATTGTGTCCTTCCCCACTGGTTGCTCCCCCTTTCGACATGAATCCCAAGTGTGTCAGATAATTCTTCACACTGCCTTGATTGATATGCCCATCTGCAGTCAACAGTTTTAATTCATTTAGCTCCTCTTTATGAAACAACGTCATGGGTGGGCCCTTAACATCGACGATGTTGTAGACCTTCACGTGCATGTAGTCCTTCAGAGAGTCTAGCTTTCCTGTTCTTACCAGTTTATCTTTTATAATTTTGTCCACAATGTATACATCCTTTATTTCTTTCAACTTGTAGGGATAGGTTTGTTCTTTCTTCACTACTCGGAGGTACTTTTGCTGGTCGGCGGCTTCTCCCCATGCGAATCCCCAAGAGCCTCCCCAGATGTCTCCTCCGTATTGGAGAAGAACTGGTTGTTCCAAATCGGCGTCAGCTCTATACTTTATGAACTCTGGTAATTTTAGTCTTGACTTTTTCGTCGCATCGTAAGCATTATTATATACCATTTCTGTCCTTTCAATATATTTTTTCAGGATGGCTAGATACCATAGTACTTTATCTGATGTGTACTTATAATGTATACCAAAGTGGAATGCTTTGTTTTGTGTGTCTGTGAGTACTTTCCCTAAGTAATTCAAATCGGTGTATTTTTTTAACAGGGCTGTGTGTGCTAGTTCGGTTTGTCTGTCATCATTTTTAATTCCCCCACTTTGGAAAAAATCAGGATTTGTTAAAATGTAGCTGAAGTCTTCTATATGTGTTCCATTACGTAGAGAATGAATCATGTTTTTCAAATGTGCCATGTTCCTCTTAAGGTAGTTGAGAGCATCTGGTTGTTTGACCCCTCCCTGATTCTTCACCAAGTGTTTATATTTTTTTAATTCTGCTCGGAAGCTTTCCAATTTGTCTGCAAACATTTTAGCATTTCTATCCAATTGGGCAGAGAATTTTTCATCGACATTTTTTTCATCCGTAGGTAACTTCAAGTAATCGTATGTGTTGATGATGTGGTATTTGTAGAAGAGGACGTCTTTATTAAAAGTTTCAATAAGTTTGGTGAGTGCATTATTTTCAATATCGGTTTCAATCATTATTTCGATAATAAATGTTTCTAGATTTTTTTTTTCTGTTTTTTTTATAAGTTCTGGTAAGAGGAATTTTACCGTTTCTGGGGGATCTTTTTGGCTATCACTGATGATGAAATTTAGGTCTTTCATAAAAACATCCCTCCTGATGTAGAGCTTCTCTAATTTCAATTCTTCATTTTCTATGTTGGTGATGATCTCCTTTAATTTTTCCTTCTTTGCTTCATTCTTCGAGTTGATATCTTCATTTTGCTCCATATTGTGTAGCTTCTCACCTATTTGTATGTCTAATTCGATATGCTTCTTCTTCGTTTTGAGTGCATGAAGGAGAAATCTCGTTTCATTAATGTCGTAGTTTATTTGGTCTATATCGGTGAGGAGTTCTTTGGTGAGGTTTTCAATTCGTATGTACTCCCCTGCATCGTTGTCGGAAAGGGACACGAGCGCATCGGTGTGGTGTCTACACTGTTTGTACTCTTTGGCGACTTCGAATCGGAAGAGCCTGAATCGTTTTTCTATATGATCTATAGCATCCATTTTTATTAGAACCTGATCATATGTTTCTGAAATAGATGCAAAATGGGTTCTAAGTTTAGTTATATCACTTTTATTTTTTTCTATTTTCTGTTTTAACTTTGTAATTTCAGTGTTAAGCTGCTCTTTTTTTTGAATTCCCTCTGGCGTATCATCTGATTTGTAGCTAGCCAAGCTGCTCTCAAGAAGATTCAAGTCGTTAGGGTAGTTGTGATTTTGCCTAAAAATTTGGAATACTTTTTTTTTCATTTTTAATTTTTCATTTTTGATGGCTTCTAAGTCTATCTGTACTTCCACATGCATAGCGTTAAAAAGCTCTGCATAAACTTGGTCAATTTTGTTAAGAACTGTTTGGCGAATTATTTGAAGCTCCTTTCTTATTTCCACATCTATTTCCTCATAGTGTAATCTGATCTGTTCTCTGAACGTTTTGTCCATGCTTTTAGAAATAAGTCTCCTGGCCTTAGCGTACTCTTTTTTGTAAGTCTCCTTTTTGGTCAAATAAATATCTGTGAATGTTTTTGTGTATGTTGGTTCATCGTAACTGGGTGCTAGATCCTGCATGATTCTTATAGAATATTTGAGGGCTTCTCTAAATTTTTTCAACATGGTCTTTTGCCTTTTTCCAAGGGATTTTCTAAATTTCCCGTAAAATCCTCTTGCACATTGATCCATGAGATCCTCTTGGTACTGCTTGAAATTTTGCATGATCAGTCCTGAGGTGATGGTATATTGGCCGTCTTCATTTTTGGCCATGAGTTTATCGAGGTGTGCATCAAAATCGGATTTATATTCGAGGATGTTTTTCTTCCTACTTTCTTGGTCCTTGACTTTTGCACTTAACTCTTCAAACAGCTTCTCATTCTCTTTTATTGCTCTGTCCTTGAGCTTAGGATAATCAGGTATCCCTTCATCCTCCAAGGCACTGAACACCTGGTTCATTTTGCCTTCAATCTCTGCTACTATTTGGAAACCAGAATCTACCTGTTTTTCATAGACCCTTTTCATTTGATCATGTAATTCGTTAAGAGAGGTGCTGTAGTAGAATGATTCTGGGGTTTCATTCTTTGGTGGGGGTCCTCTAATGATTCCACTTTGTATGTCTCTTTCTCTACTTTGTCTTGCATATGCCCTTTCTTCTTCACGCCCTGCTTCATAATCCCTTTCAAATTTAGCATCGTCATCTGGTTCCGTTCTTTCTTCTTCCGCTTCCAATTTCTGGGTCTCCAATTCGTGTTTCTTATCCGTTTCTTCAATTTTGTCTTGTTCCTCTTTCTTTATCCTTTCCTCTTCTTCTTTCTTCTTTTGTGCATATTCCGTTCTTTCTTTTATGAGTTCCGTTTCTACAATTTGTCTCAGTTCATTATATTTGTGTTTTTCCCGTGCGTATACATCTGCGTGGTTTTCATCAGCGCTGGTTTCTTCCTGTGCTTCCTTCTCTTCCTTGGAGTCTTCATCTTCCTCGTCATCTGGTACGTCGTCATCATCATCGTCCTCCTCTTCGTTGTCTCCTCCGCTTACCACGATATCTTCGCTGAGGACGCGGCCGCGTGTTTTTTTTTTCTCGTCCACTTGGGCCATGGATAAGAGGGACGAGGGCCAACTAGAAGAGGTACCCGAACCGACGGGGAAGAGCGCCAAAACTTCGTTGAGAAATTTGTCGAGCGTGTCCACCTTTTTAGAATCCTTATGTTCGAGTAGAATCTGCTTCATTTTTGTATCTCCTTGGAAAAAGTTAACCACCATGTGGTAGGTATTGTAGAAGAGAGCGAGTCCATATTTCATGCTTAAGAAATCGTAAGTACTTTCAAAATTGGGATAAATTTTCTGAACCCATGGGGTAATGGAAAGGACATTGTCTACATTCTGAGCATTTGGTAGATCTCCCTGGGAGCTGTTAATGCGGTAGAAATTTTTAAGGATGTCTCGATAGATGGACTCCACGGTGAATAGCAAATCGTTGTTTTCCATAAAGAGCAGGTAGCTATTTTTCGTTTTTGTGGGATAATTTGGCATGAGGAATATATTAACCTTTTGCAGAAGGTAAGCAAAGATGGTAGCTCCGATCCGTGGGGAGATGTCTACCCCTGTGATATTTACAAGGTTGGTGACGAAATCGATTATATCATTTTCAGTACAGTTGAGGATAAAATTTCTGGAAAAGAGATGATGTATTAATTTAAGATCTAGAACCCGTAAATTTGATTCTGCCAGAAAATCCTTAATGGCTTTTTCTATTTTGTAGACACTTAATTTGTCTTTCGCAGTAGATGCATACTTGATGCTGGAGGTGACATTTTTAAAAGTGCCCCTGTCCTTGTAATTATTATTAGACAGGAAAAAAAAGTCATTCATGAATACATCTAAGGAGAAGGAACCTACATCGTAACTGTAATCGTAGAAGCTGAACCCAGAAACAGCAATATAATTCTTCAAGGTATCATGAATATTTTTGTAAGCCTGTTTAACGAATAGTTGCAGATCTGTCTTGGGGACGTTATTTATTTTGTAAATTTTTTCAAGTCCTATTTCTTCGTCTTTCCTAAACAGTATATGTAAGGCGGTTAGGAAGGAGGAGTAATCCTTCATATCTACGTTGTGCACAATTTTTGGAGTTTTTCCCTCAGACATTTGTCCTAATTCATCCTCATATGAGGGAGATTTATTGTAGAATCTTTCATAACCCATTTCAATATTTTTACACATATCTTGGTTTTCTTTATACTGAATAATTTCTGTCACTTTATATACTGTACTGTTTTCTCCTCCAAATAGGAAGACATTTGTATTTTTTTCCTTTTCTTCGCTGGTCCATTGTACATCTGTGGGGATGTTGAATACTTCTGTGGTGTGTTTTTCCTTTTCTATAATCACATTAGTGTTTGTAGGTATCATAATGCCTGTGTCTTCATCCATAACCATTTGTATGGTATGTGTTTCCGTGCCTGCAGGGGCACTTTGTGGTGGTTGAGCATATCCTGCGCTATCGCTTCCTGGTACTATGGGGTGACACTCCACTGGATTTACGGCTTCTAACTCATTCTCTTGGAGGGGGAAAACGGGATCAGTTTTTCTCTCATCTACGGGAGTAATATCTACATTATTGTGTAGGTAGTATATCTTTCCTTTGTACTTATATATAAGATATGGGGGCACTATTTGTATGGCCTCTTCCAACGCGTCTGGAATATTTTCAGGGATAATTTTGGTTTCCTTTAGGTATTTTATTATTTGATCGAAGTTTAGGCCTTTCCGGCATTTCGCTAGCCCGCATAGCAGGCACAGGAGCGTCGCGTACAGCGGGATCCTCATGGTGCCCTTTTGTCAGTGGGTTCGGCCGTTCGCGTGTCGCTTTTTTTTTTTTTTTTCTGCCGAGGTAGCGCCCGCTGTGAGTCTCACGGGGGTGCAACGAGTAGGCAGCAGGAGTGTATCACAGGCGAAGCAACGGCGAAGCAGCGGCGAAGCAAAGACGTGTAGCAGGCGTGCACGCTTATATGAATGACGTCAAACGAGGCTCTCACTGCGAGATTGCTTATGACGTGCTATGACCTAGCGAGGCCGAATGCGAGCTCCCTCATGGGTGTGTTCCTCCTTTTTGTTTGCGTCGCGGTGGTGAAGATTTAACAGAAATTTATGCAAACACGCATGTGTGGTAGTAAGTGGGTTCAGATAAGTATACACCTCTTCATGCAACCATGCATAAGTTTGGGTGAACGTGTCTTGTCCCCCTTGCGAATGCAGTATGTGGCATGTGGGGGTCGTTGTAAAGAATTACGAGAAAAAAAAAAAGGGGGGGAATTCTAAATGAGGGTACTGTAAAAAGTGAAAAATGTGTTGTATGCACGTTTTGGAGTATACGCAGAGGGATGCAAAAAAAAAAAAAAAAAAATGGACGCTTTTTTTTTTTTTATTTCATTTTTAGGCAGACAGGGATGAGCGGTTGGATGGGTCTACAAAGAAGAGCCGCTTGAAAAGCCGATTGGCAGAACCGTTGCACTATTCTTCATACGATCTAGACACATGTATATAGAGTTGTGGATGAGCGCGTTTGGGGAACAGTTCCCGCCGACGGGGTGAAGATACAGCCAGGTATCTTTTCCCTCACCCCTGTGTTGGTGCTTGTCGCTCTGTTCGTTGGGGTGTTTCTTTATTTTTTACCTTTATTTAGTAGTTTTTTTTTTTTTTTTTTAGTTTTTAACTTTATTTTGTAGTCTTTTTTTTTGTTTTACCTTATTTTTGTGTTACTTTCTATGTTTGCTTCGTGCGTTCATTTCCTGCTGTCGTTTCTTTTTTCAATTCCTTGTCATTCATCGTTGTCATTTTATAATTTATTTATTTTTTTATTTTTTACGACTGTATTTTACGATACTAAAAAATTTTGGAAATAAAAACTGTCTGCACTCCATTTAACTCAAAAAAACAAAAACAAAATAAACAGAAAAGAAAGAACATCATTGGAGATCATTACATGTGAGCACGTACATCTGGTACACAGCAAACAAGGAAAGCATACACATCGTAGAAGGACGTCCTGACCGTAAACAAAACTATACCAAATGAACAGGAGTGAAAAACGGACGGGAAAAAATGAGCCGTTTTGGAAACTTAATAAAATTTCAAGTGTAACGACGGTCTAAACAGCCAAAAAAAAAAAAAAAAAAAAAGATCAAATGGCTAGCTGAACATTTTATAAGAATTTTCTTCACACACAGATTTGTGCCTACCAAGGTGCCCTAAACATTCAACTGTGTATTGTTTTTTTTTTTTTTTGTTTTTTTTTTAATGAGCGTTTAACTCCTTCAAATGTATAGGCGACATGTTGGTTCTTTTGAACACTATGCAGGGGAAGCGACGTGATCACTTTACTCCACAGGACACATTACTTCAACAAGAGCAGGTTATTCGCCCCTTTTTGATCAAAGAAAAAGGGAAGTATGCCTTATGCATGATCAGATGTTTTTTTTTTTCCCCCTATACACGTCTGTCTACATTTTGGCATTTTAAAAAAAAAATAAAAACATTGTGTACGTACACCTACGCATATGGATTGTAAAAAGTGTCAATACAATGGGTAAGCTGGAGTGAGTATTTTTCGTGAGCCTCTACACGGTGTTAATTTTTTTCCATGACCAATAAATTTGCTTTTTAAGGAATGAATGCATGTGAAAGCAGTCATTACGGATGTGGGTACGTTCCCCGTTTAACTTTTTTTTTTTTTGTGGAATATATGTTTACTAGCCGGGCGTGCGTGCCATGTGTACTGAAATGCTATACTTCTGGCCACAGTTCATACTCCGCCATGGATATCCACCGCCCCATAGAGGATCTCATATACGTTGTCACCAATGGAACATGAGGTTGGTTAAGTTCTTGTGGGCAGCAAAATTGGAAACGGGGTAAAACGCATTTTCGTCCTGTCGTCGCGTCCCCCCATCCTCCGTTGCAACCAAATCTTTAAGAACGCTGTTCATGTAGGTATGTAGACATGGGCACATGGACACACACACTGGGGATAGCAGTGACAATTGAATGGGTTGTGTCAGCGATGGCGCAACGCGAGCGAGTTAAACCCCACGCTCTGCAAACAAAAATTCGTACACTAAATAGGCGGTAGTCTTTCCCTCGGTATGTATGCATTTCGTATACAACGTGCATTTGGTCCTTCTCATTTGAGATGTTCTTTTTTCCCTTTTATGCCCTCGAATTGCGGCAATTTATTATTTTTTTTTGGGGGGTTTATTTTTTCCATCACTAGGGGGGAGGAAGCCATCGTTCAAATTTAATCCGTGTTTGTGGGGAGGAAAAAAAAAAAAAAAAAAAAATGTTCCAATAAAAGGGGTACATCAAATGTGGTATTGTATATTTATGGTGGTATGGTTGGCACAAGTGTTCCGCAGGAGTGGAACTAAACGTGGGGCGAGCGCGTAAAGAGTCAATCGGCGCCGCCCCATTTTCCATTCGCACCGCATGCCAACTCGCCGAGTTCGCCGCCTATCCAGTGGCGACCACAAACAGGAAAAAAAATTTAGCAAAGGGGGGAAATAAAAAAAAAAAAAAAAAAAAAAGCGAAATGATTGAAAAATTATATAAAAATAAAAAAAAAAGAAAGCTAAAACGTGAGGATGTAAAGGTGAAAAAAATGTTTGGAAGGAAATAATTAAGATAGAGGAACCATTTGATGGGAATTGTCAATTTGTTTGTTTTTTTTTTGCTAGCATTTTATCGTTAACATTATTTCACTTTTTGTGCGCCCCCTGGTTTAAAGCTGCCAAGGGCACATAACACAAGTGTTGAATATAACGTACCTAAGCAGAAAGGGCAGAAGGTGCAGGAAACAGGGGGCAACCAGAAGAATAAATGCGGCGGCTGAAGGGAATACTCGAAGAGCAACGCGCTGATATATCGCCCGAGTGGGGAGAGAAGACTTTGGCCAGCAGGAGCAGCAGGGGGTAGTTGCGGCAGAGGGTAGTATCCACAGAGGAGGACGAAGAAAAAAAAAAGTTTTCCGCCCGTGGTGGCGCAACAATCGCACGATTCCCCGAAGTGACGCACAGCAGGGGTAGCACGTGGGGGGGTGGGCAGAGAGCGGCATTCCGCGAGGCGTAAGCCCACCGTAGGCAAAACGTGATATAGAAAATGCCAAAGGAAGGCACCGCATATATAAATTACGCCTCATAAAAAAAATATAAAGGCCTGTTATTATAAATTGGGTAAAAATTACACAGAAGGAACACCTGGCGCAGCTACATATGTGCCCGTCCGGTCCCCAGCACGTACTCCACAAAAGGAAGAAAAATGTGCCAGGAGGATTTGTAAAAGCGCAAGAACCCCCTAATTCCAGTTGTTAACTTTTGACTCTAGGTTTTTTTTTGGTTCCCCCGGAGAGGAAAAAGCAGGAAAAAAAGGGAAGGGTGCCCCATTTGTATTGGTGCTCTTGTTAACTGATCTGTGCAAGACTGTTGTTTGTGACTCGGTCCAAACGGTGACGTAGTCACAAAAAAAGAGTCGACGTGGCTGCAGTGCGCGGCGCTACCCCACCTGAACATTGGATCGAACTAAGAGATAAAAAAAAAAAAAAAA